TCTATGTTGGGCATCAAAATATTCAAAATTATTTCAGAACCAGAATAAAAAACTGATGTTCCAAAAAATTCATGGTACAGATTGTTTAAGGCTTAGACAAGATTAAAAATCTGTAAATTTTGACAATTTTTGCGTAAACTTTAAAAAATGGTTTAATTTTAGCAGTAAACGCAAACGTATTCTGGTTTTTTAAAGACGAAGAAAAAAATGACTTGTTGCTTAAAAACTTGGAAATTACCAATTTTTAAACAACAAGCAAAACTTTCCCTGAAATTGGGAATTTGAATTGTTCTCTTTGTTTATAAATGAGCTTTTTCTTACTTTGAGGGCTTCCGTTTTTTATTCTATTTCAAGAAGAATTTTTCATTGTGTCTGAAAAACCGTTCTACTGAAACAATACTGTTTAAAAGTTTTGCCCCATCAATTTTACCTGAAAGAAAAAATCTGCAGTAATTGACTGCTTCTGATCAGCAAAAAAATTCAATTTATACAAAAACATCTACAAAATTTCGTTAAATTGCGTTTAAAAGATCTACGAAATTTACCAATTTTTGAAAAAAAATCATCTGTTCCAGTTTTTACGCAATCTTATGTTCTTACTTTTTCTCTTATGTGCCGATATTATAAAATATTGGTGATTGATTTGATGTCTGACCTCATTTTGTTCCTTTTTTTCTAACTTTGTTGTTTTTTTTTGTCACATTTCCTTTTCCTCAGAAATCTATCTGTTCTCCGCTGAAAAATGCCACTTTTTATTTCAACACTTTTTATTTCAACTCTGTTTCTTTCAAATTTCTCTGACCTATTGTGCAGACTGTAATTCACTAAAAGCTATCAATTCTGTCGTACAATCTTTGTTTACTCTTTTTTTCATTTTTTTTTTTGATGTCATTTGTCTGGTTTTTTTTGTCTCATATCAATTTTTGTATAAGATGTTTTTCTTCGATCTTTCTTGTTTTTTTTTCTCTTTTTTCATTTTATTATCTCTCATTTTTGTGTTTCATTTTCTGTAGTCATTTTGTCACCTTATAAACTTAGTTTTTTTGATCTGTAATTTATGTTTTTGTCCAATTTCCGTTTTTTGTCGTCATATTGTCATCCGCTAAAATATGTGATGTTTGATCTGTCATTTGCTTGCTATCTTTCTGTCCAAGTTCCGTTTTTTGTCGTCGACAGATAGAATACAAAAAAAAACAAAAAAAATGCCAGATTGGTAAAATCTGTTAATTTTTTCAGTTCTTTGTACTCTTTTTCCTCCATTGGGTTTTTGATCTGTCATTTTTTGATCCCTTGAGCCTGTTGTCCTTTGACCGATTGATTGGTTGGTGTTTGTTTGAAGTGTCTTTTCTTCTGATCTCAAATCTGTCTCGCTCTTTGAATTTCTCTTTTCTGATCTCTCTTCTCTATCTTCGGAAGTTGTCTGATGATGAGAATGAATAGCTGATGATGTATTTCCGATGATTGGACAAATCTGAACTAACCGGAAGAAATGACGATGCAAATTACAAACACTGATGTTAAGGTCAGATGGTCGCCGATTTAATTGACAAAACATATATTACGCAATTCTCCGCTTGCCAGACAAATTCGCCATCAGTTTTAAAATTTATCTTTTTTGCCCCATACTTTTTAATCCCAAAATTCATTTTTTCTAAATCGATTAACAGACGAGGGTTCAACTTCTATTACGCATGACTATTTCGCGTAGGCTATTTTTTAAACGTAACTTTGCGACCCTTACTTCTAATTTGGTTAGTTTATCAATCTTAAAAGCTTCAAAGAGTTGATGATAATTTGTTTTTTGATTCGCAATCACCACAAGTCAAAAGTTAAATACTGGACAAGACATGTCAATATGTCATTTATTTCACACACCATTTGACATCAGAACGAAGCCATGAAGAGAAACAAACAAACGGCATAAAATATGAAAGGACTTAAAAGAGTTCAAACGTATAAGCCAATCAAAGCGAAAGGGGAATCAAAAGATAGCCAATCAAGCGGAGCTATCAATCAATTCTAAAAAGAACACTTCTAAAGAACATCTGAAAGATCCACCGAAGATATACTTACAAAACTGCCTGACTTATAGAAAACAGTATTGTAGGGGGAAGGGGGTCGCTTGTTGGAGATCAATTGGTTTTGGGTAAATTGTGGGATCAAAGATATCTAGCATCAAGCGCTGGATTGTGAATTTAAAAATGACACACCAACTCAAGACATCAATACATCACTCAAAATGAACGAATAAGAAAACTTTTGTAATAGATTTTTTAAAGAATTTTAGTACCGAAAAAGAAAAAGAAAAAATAATGAGAGTGGTATTCCAATTTTATTGGATCGGAAGCAACATAGTACTGATATAATACCAACAGCAATAGTAAAATACAATAGTCGGAGACAGAAACATCAATCAAAAAAGATCAAAGAGTGAAATGAAATCACACTTCACAAGGTAGATTTCAGCAGCCATTTCAACCGACAACAACAACATCAAGTCCATTTCACGCCGGGTCAAATTAGATCACAGGCATTTCACATCAGAGCTATTTCAGTTCAAAGGGAAAATAACAGACCAGAAAGAGAACAGACAACATCAGTCAAAGATATAACTGAGTATAAGTTAACTGACCGCGTGAAATACAATAAAAATATACAATCCAATATAATTTCAGTATTACTCTAAAGTTACATCTTATTGGATTGTTGCGAGACTATACTTTGTACCTCTACAATTTGTTATTATAATAAAAAAAAATTTATCTGATGACCGGTTTGAAGGTTTGAATTTTTTTATTCAATTAGTTAATTTACTAATTATTTAATTAGTTTTTCAATCAATTAGTACACTAGTTACATGACTGCTTATTTCAGTTTTCTCATTAACAAACAGCAAACTTAACTTACACCTGTTATTTTATCCCAGATATTAACTTATATCTTTTAACCGATTAGTATAACACTTTTCGGATTACCAGTTGATATTTTACCGGCCAGACTTCAAACTATTATTCCCCCGAATGAAAATTTAAAGGAAAGCTGTAGTCATATCATCATTGAAGCTGCCAACAACTAACAACTGGATATTTCTAATTGGTAAACAAAAAAATGAAAGAATTCTTTGAAGAAAAAAAAAATCAGTTATTATCAAACATTCAAACTTTTTATTGTAACTAAGACAAATTTAATGGACAGAATTTAAAGACGAGCAAATAATATAATCATATGAAAAACGACCGGTTTTTAAAAATTTCAAAAAATTTCTCATGAATTTCAAAAGTAAGTTAAATAGAATTTTTATTGATGTCAAAATGACAGTAGTATGACATATATTGACAACTTATGGCATCTAACGAGTTTTGACATTTGGTATTTTTAGATTTACACATGCCTGTCCGTTCATTTATAACTGATATAAAAATCTTCAATAAAACGACATCTTTAAATTTCTTTAATTGAAGAGAATTTTAAAAGAAATCAAAAAGAAAAACCCACAAAGGAAAGATGTGAAAACAACACCAATAATACCACAATAACTTATATTTCCTATATCTGAAATCATTTCAGTATTGAAGCTCGATTAAATCAATAACAAAAAAGTTAGGTTATCTTAATAAATTTTTCTGACAACGAATTTGAATCAACTTTCGGTCTTAAGTGAGTTTGATTTTTGTTTAAACTCTTTTCTGATTTACATTACTTATCATTAAATATAGAAATGTATAATAACTTGTTCAAAGAACAATTTAACTTAAACGTGTTATCAAACTCCCCAACCCCTTGCCGTTTTCAATTCAGTCTGAATGAAAAATGAAACCGAACTATTCTGAGCTGCTAGCGCACGACTTGATTTTGCGTTGGGTTCGAATGAATATTTTAGTAAGATTTAATTTTCAACAGTTTTTTTTTCAAAATCGTTCTTCCTACTTATACCAAATTTAATCCAAATTTTGTGATTACCATAAATCTATTATAAAATGGCCGTAGAATCAGATTGACAATGGAAAATGTCAGACTCTTTTATAAAAATTTTGAGATTGAGAAGAAAAAAGAAAACACCCCTAAGACTATTTATTTGATTGTCCAGGTATAGTTTTGATTGAACATCTTTGTTTTTTAAACTTCATAAATACTCTTCAAAAACTCACTCATGTTTGATTCCTTTTGATATATTTTTTCAAAAATAGAAATTACAAAAAGTCCAGTTAATCGTTTTGTTACTTTGGTTTTTATAGCTTGTCTGTTCTAATATCCCATTTTTTCCTCTGAAAAAGAAAAGGTCTCACAAATTACAATCCATATTTTTCAAACGAACAACCAACTTTAAATTATTTGCTCACTTAACCGCCTATCACAAATAAATTATTTATACTATTAGCATATAATCAATAGAACTGGGAATCTATGGAAAAATTGGGAATATTAACATTTATAGTAAAGTGAGCAGAGTTTCATAGCAAACAAATCAATCCTTCTTTTGTGAGTTCAATCATCAGTCAACAAAAAGAAAAACCGAAAAAAAACTTAGTTATATTTTCACATAGAAAATTTAATAGATCGGGAGTTCTTTGTCTTTACTCCTTACTGCTTGTCTTCGTTGCTGCTTTTTAAATTCAAAGTTAAAAGTTCTCAAGTAGGTATTAATAACACATTTTTAAATTTTTAATACTGTTTTTTCTTCTGGTCTTAAACAAAAAGCATTTCCTATAAATATTATATAATATCCATTATGTTTGGTCATATTAAAACTTTTCCTAATACTTAGAAAAATTTTGTTGCTCAAATTCAGAAGTACTTCAACCCACTATACTTATTTTCTTTAATTTGTTTCAGAAAAAAAAAATATTGATGTTTGTGTTAAAAAAATCTTTAAAATACTTTTTCAAAAAAAATTGTTTGATTAAAGAATTTTTTATGCGTTGTATGGTTTTTTTTGTTAAATTAAAATTAAAATCATTTTCAAAAAAGTTGCCAGCTGAAAAATAGTTTTTCTTTTGCAGAGTGGCAATAATACTTCAAGTCAATCCGACTCCCATTCTTCCAGTGGCAATAGCAACAAACAACCAACAGTCCCCCCGATCAACTCCCAGAACAACAACACAAACAACAATAACAACAACAGTAACGCTTCTTCAGGACAGACAAACAACAGTGAACAGTTGAGTGTGAATACGAATTCAGCTGGACAACAACATCAACAACAAGTGTCAAACTTCGCATCAGCAGCACAGGTAAATTGATTGAAGATTAGCCATGTTGGAAGAACCCATGAGATAAAAAAAAATCAAATAAGATATTTGATATCAGTTCTGTGACTAGAGAATTGCGTTAAATATAAAGAGTCTAGCTTTATTCGAATAAGAGAATATTTCATGGTTTTCGTAACTAAAAGTCTTATTATGATGCTAGGGGAAAATTTTTTCATTAAATTCTGACATGTTGGATTTAAATGGTCTCTTATAGAAAAGATTTGATGCTAAATATTTTTTGCCTTTTTGTTTTTTAAAGCCAGGTTTAGAATGCTTAGATCTTGGAATTGATTTCAACTGCCATTTCAAGTCAATCATGAATTAAGTTTTTTGAGCGTTTTTGGCAAAATCTTTTCTCTAGTGAAAAAAATGGCTAACGATTTTTTTGCAAGCTATTTTATTTGGTCTAAAAAAAAATTTTGCGAATTTTTTTTTTCGCTGAACAATTTTTTTGGCAAAACGTTTTTGTTGGCGAAACATTTTCGAACTAAATTTGATAATTTTTTGTGGTTTTTGGATCAGGTGGCGTTAACAGCAGCCATGTACAGTCAACTGACGGGGGCTGAGTTGAGTGGCAACCCCTACGTGTCCACATCAGTAGCAGCAGCAGCCTCAGCCCAACAACACCAGAACGACCTCGACTCCAAAGCAGGTTTGTTTGTTCAGCAATATTTAAAGTGACAAAGAAAAAATAAAAGTTTTTTTTCGGTTGAAGGTCTTAGTTTTTGAATAGATATTTTGACTATTTTTTTGTTTTTTATTAAATTGGATTTTTTTTTTTAAATCTAAAATATCCAAGGATTAAATTTCTTGCCCACTTTAAGTTTAAATAAAAAAAGTCCAAACAAAAAAATTCAATTTTTCTATTTTGGTTCAAAACTATGTCGCTGTTGTCAAAAATCGACATGCTCAAAAACTGATGATTTCACGTTACGCAAAAACATGTCAGAGAAAAAAATTCATTAAAAATGGCCTGAATTTGTTTGTACTGGGAAAATATTAGAAATATTCTATGCGATTGATTGCGTAATTTTTACGTTTTAGACGTTTTGTTCAAACTTTGGCTTCTATTTTTTTTTTTAATGAAAATTGCACCAAATAAGCCCTGAATGAAGCGTTCAGATACATTTTTGAAAGTAAAAGTTTAAATTTTCCCAAATAATTGCAAGGCGCATGTGTACTGATAACTTTAACAGTTCATCTTTGAAATTAAAAGGGCGATCAAATCATAAATTTTTCATTTTTAATCTTTCCTTTAATTTAAATGCCCACCCCAGTTGTTTACAATCCAAAACAACATCGAACTATTTTGGCAGTTCTTTTTTTTCATTTCATCTATTTCATTGAAATCGAATATGACGCTTTTTTTTCTATTAGCTCTTTTTATTCGAGTCATTTCTTTGGTTTTATTTTTGGGGGTGGGGTGATATTCAAGATTGGCTGGTAATAAGCGTAAGAGCTTCTCTGTACCGCTGTTTAGATTAAGTGCAAGCTGATCTTAAGAGGGGCTAGGCAACTTCTAATTAGAACGATGATATTTGGGAGGTTTCCGATTTCCTTTTCCGCCATACAACAACCAAATTAGAATACAAAAATACGAGTGCATTTCAGTCATGTCTTTTATGTTTTTTTTTCTCAATCAATACAGAGGTCAAATCTACATCAATGAATTTCAATGGAAAAAGGAGTTAAAAAATTAACAAAAATCGGGCTCTTTTTTTCTAGGTGTTTCATCTACTTTTTATTTTGACGAAGATTCATTTGGCCAAATCTTTGATCCTTAAAACCCCCAATAATCCTTCTTATTATTGCTTGTATATTCAAAATTTTCCAATATTAAACTGGCAATAAGTTCGAAAAAAATGAAAAAAGCAATTGAATTGAAAAATCAATTGCAGCTTTCATAAGACGAATGAATTTTATTTCTCATTCATCAAACTTTACAACATGTAAAAACTTCAAACGTAATGAGTAATTAAAAAACAAAAATGTCAGTTGAAGATTCCTTTTAACAAAAAATATCCTATTTGCAAAAATATCCCATTTGCCAAAATATCCCATTTGCCAAAATATCCTATTTGCCAGACTACCCAACACCATTTGCCAAATATCTGGTCAGTTTTGCCCAGAAGATCTTTTAACCCAAATACCCTTTCGCATTTTGCCAAAATAACCCGATGTGGATATTGAAAATTGCTGTGCAATTAACCAGCAGACTTCAGTTATTAAAGTGACACTAAGCTTCAAAGTGGGCGAGCAAATCAAAAGTGTGCAAAAGGACGACATGGGACTACATAGGGCTGAAAATGAGCAGCACAATTTCAAAGGACAATCTCACTTCATTTCACTTCGCTTTCTAGTTGCGCTTTTGAAGTCAATTTCTTAGTTGCTCTTGTTTTCTCTTTCAGCTCCCTTCTTTTTTCATCTTTTTTCTTCTCTTTTCTTTTCACATTTGTTCACACGAATAAAAAGGATGTAGATCAAAGATTGGCCATTATGGGGGACTATGAGATGAAAGGAGAGCGTGGATTTGGTTTGATTCTAGTTCGATTTTGATGTTGAATTTAACCCCCTAAATTGACTCCGACTCTGATAGTGACTACCTTGCTAAACTACCTGATGATGATGGGCGAACTTTTATTATTATCATGATCCAAAATGCTCCATTTTATTAGGTGTATTTATAATTTACTATGTTGGTCATTTGAAGGGCTACTCTTTCCGCATTTTTGATTCTGCTTGATTTTTGTTCCGACAATTGAAATTGAGGAGGAACTTTTGTTTTTGGGTATTTTATTTCTTTTTTGTTTTCCACGCAAAATCGGGTACTACAAGTAATCATCGGAATGGGTCGAGTGATATACCATATTAAAGCCTTTTCGTGAGTCGAACGACAATTAAAAATTTGAAAAAATTATCAGTGTCGAGAAAAACTGGTTAAAAATTTTGATTTTCATTTAAATTTCGAGCAAATAAACCGAGCGAGCAGGGTTATAATTCTTATAATTGGAATTAAGTCGTAAACTCTGAGTTTCGCTTCAGTAAGATCAGTTTTTGAAGTTTCAATCATTATTAGCGCCTTCTTCAGAATAAAAATTTCAAAAAAATCATAATCTAACTTTAAAAATTTTGAAAAATAAATCAATTTTTAGGCTTTCGTAAAAACGAAACAATTTGAGAAAAAAAAGGAAATTCTGATAGTTTTTTAATGATTGTGTTGGGAAAATTCTGTGCTTTTTGCACAGCAACCGGCTATCCTTGTCGCTATGTTTTTTTTTTAAAATGTTTTGCTTTGATATCTATAGTCGGAGCATTCTGTTTTACTTACACAGTAACGGGCTGCCGTTGTTTAGTTTTCTCCTTTGTGTGGGTGTGTTTTCTTAGTTCTCGTTCGCACGGAATTAGCCATATCTAAAATTTCATATACTAGATGGCATTGTTATTGGTAGGCCTAGTCCAGTGGAGTTCTCAGAAGTTTTTTTAATTGGGCTAGGAGTTTATCTGTTTTTGGCACTATAATACTTCAACATTCTTGTCACCCCCCCCCTCCCCCTTTACTAACCCTTTGGAGCATATGGCGGTTTTATTCCGTCTGCTTGTCCATTGCCCTGTCATATAACTAAATTTCACATGTCCTGCTAAATGTCGCTTTCCTGTCTGTATATTTCTTAGATATTTATTCCCCCTTTGAAGCTGGCTTTCTTCTCTCAAACATGAAAGAAAAACAGAGGAAATTAGTACAAAGAGGTGAACACTTAAAAGACAGATTGGCACATAGGCAACTTGTCACTTAATCTCTTTTTTCTTTGAATTTCTTTCTTCTCTTTTAACTTTAGTTCTCTTTCTAGTGTAAAACATTAAAGCCAGTCAATCAACCGACCAAGACAGTTTGGCAAGCAAAACGCCACAGGGAAAAATAAGTAAACAATGGATCCAAATGATCAAAAGAATCATTCCTTCCAAGAATAGCTGAATTTTTTTGCTTAAATGATGATCAAATGAAGATATACTTGCTCGAAAAATTAATTTTTCAAAGATCCAAAATGCGTGAAAAAATATTAGGCGGTAGCCAATTTGAACAAGAAGAACAAGGGTAGCCGGTTGATGTCCCAGTAGCACAGATAGTTCCGACCAGTTTCATTAAAAAAATATGGAACTTTTTTTTGAATTTTCCTCAAACTAGTGTCGTTTTTAGTGGGTGGAGGTTGGTGTGATTCGAGAAGTATACGATCGCGTAGATAATTATTGAACTAGGCATGATCGACAAAATTTGTTTTCAAAAATGAATACCAAACAAAACAATGAAAATAATTAATAATTTTTTCTTAATTCTTATTGTTTGTACAATAGTTTAAATTTTCTTTTGAAAACTTTTATTGTCAAATAAGCGCTAAAAGAAACATTCAAAACTGTTTTTCTTGATATTAGTCTCAAGTTTTGTGAGGCTAAATTTATTCTAAATAATCATTAATTTTCATATAATGATTTTATCGATCGCGTTTTTCAATCGAAATTGAAATAAAAATCAAAAATTTTAAACCAGTTTTTCTCGACACTAGAAAAATTTTGGGGAATTTTTTTTATGTGGTTTGAATCACGACTGAAGGCTTTAAAATTAAAATATGAAAGTGCTGATGTTAAAAAGTTCATGATCGAAAGAGTGTTAATCTTTCAAAAATTCAGTTTTTTTGACAGAAATCACCATTCATAGCCAAATAACTTACGAGTTGGACAAATAAAAAAGAGTACTTTTTTTTGCAATTTGAAGTTAATTCAAAAATACAATTCATGAAAAAAAGCTTCATGAAAACAAACAACTAAAGAATATCCATATTTTCAATCAGTGCTTCAAGTAATTTCTTCAATTTAACAGTCTATATAAGTGTTTGAATAAGGTTGAATGGCGAGAATCCCAACGTCACGATTGATTTCTTAAGTGCCTTGATTTCTATTTTTTTCGACTTTTGATATTTACAAGCATCATAAACTAAGCATTTTCTGTTTCTGATGTTATTTTTTTGTTGGTGATTATTTCAATGATTCTGTTCTAGGTCTCAGAAACGCGTTCGGGCCTGCAGGCGCAGGAGGAGGAGTTTACCCAACCCCCACCTACCACGACTTTGCCCTAGGCCCTCAATGGGCAGCTGCAGCCGCCCCCTCCCCCGCCGGGATGATGTTCCATGCAGGTATGCACCCCTCAGCCTACCATCACGGCGGTCTACCTGGAGTCCATCACAGGGCAGCAGCTGCGGCCGCTTTCCCCTTCTACCTTGGCATGGGGGGACTTAGTGCGGAGGAAATGGATAAACGGAATAAAGAACACGCGGCAGCTCTTGTGGCACATCAACAACAACAGGTATTGTTTTGTAAAATTGAGACCGTTTTTGGGGTCTAAAAATATAAGAATTTTGAAACAGATGTCAATATGTTTCAACAAAGCAAAAAAAAATTGATTTCATTAAAGCAAAAAAGTTTCGACAAAGCAAAAATTTTGATTTCAACGAAGCAAAAAAGTTTCAACAAAGCAAAAAACTTCAACAAAGCAAACAATTTTGCGTTTCTTCAAGCAAAAACGGAAAGTCGTATTTTTTGCCAGTTTTCTAAATAATCATTTCTTTGCCAACTTTATTGAATGCTTCAACCTTTTTTCTTTCAGATAATAACTTCAGTTTTGCAATTTAATTCAGTTCTGCAATTTAATTTAAATTTATTTATATTTTTTTCAATTTGGCAATTATTTACAGTTTTTGACCAGCGCTCTACCTAGGTGCAGGCAGTGGCGGAGGAGCACCACAAACAACAACAGCAGCAGAGCTACAGACCCTATGTGAAGAAACCCCTGAATGCATTCATGCTATTTATGAAGGAGAACAGAGAGAAGGTGATGCAGGAGAGCACTCTGAAAGAGTCAGCTGCTATCAATCAAATACTCGGCAGGAAGGTCAGTTTGCAGTTCAATTGTTCGATATTATTTGCTATTTACAGCAGTCGTAGCCGAGTGCGTAAGGCAAATGACCCGGACATGAAGAATGGGAGTTCGATTCCCACTTCGGTTCTTCTGGAAATCAATTGTTTGATAATATTTTTTTACCTTGGGTTAATTAAGATTATTGTTTTCGTTGATGAGTTCAAACAGATCTAAGAAAAATGCATCGAAAACTCCAGTTACGACAAAATCAAAGATCAAAACAACCCTTGAATGTTTTCTTTCAATGTTTGAAAAACTTAAGTAACTTTCAATCTAAGTTCTCTGACCACTTGTCATGAAGTGAAGGGAAGGAACTAAGGCGTAAGGGGTTTCTTCTTCCCCATTATGGCCCATCAAAAAAATACAGGGAAATTGTATCAGTGTCGAGAAAAACTGGTCTGAATTCAACCGGTTTTATACAAAAGTTGACAGCGTATGGGTATCGATCCGGATATCTTTGGATTGCCAAGCGAGAATGCTTGTTACCTCTTATTACTCATAAAAACTTGTGTAATTTTTCAGATATCAATGCAAGTTTTTCTGAAAAATAATGTGATTTTTTAGCCAAACACTCGATAATTTTTTTTGTTTTTTTTTCTAGTGGCATCAACTAGACAGGAATGAACAAGCCAAGTACTACGAGATGGCCAGACGAGAGAGGGCCATCCACTTGAAACTCTACCCTGGCTGGAGTGCTAGAGACAACTACGCCATGGGCAAACACAGGAAGAAGAGGAAGCGACAACAGCAGCAGCAACAGGGACATCCGCTCAATCCACATGTACATGCACAAGGTATGATTAAAATGATGATGTTCAAACACATTTTTTGTTATATATATTTTTTTCTAAACAAAATTTTGCAACTTTTTGGACAAGTTGACCAAGATGTGATTCGCATCTTCTCGCACAAGGTATATCTAAAATAATTATCATAAACATTTTGTAGAATTTTTTTCGAATAAAATTATGCATCTTTTTGAGTGAAAAACCAAACAAACCATGAAGGAATTTAATGTTTTTTTTTGCGTTAATTGACCAAGCTATGATAAATGCATAAGGTAGTATGATGATGATGATTATGCTGTTGTTGATGTAAAATATTCATGATCACAGTTTCCTATGAAGTTTCCTACCACTTTCCGTGGTCGAGCTTAATTTGAATTTGTTAGGATTCTCATTTACATGTCTTGGGTACAAAGCAGGAACTGAAAAAGGTATTTTTTGAGGTGAAAAGTGTTTTTCTATTCAGAAATCCATTATTAATTGGTTAAAACAAGTTGTAGACATCAAATCAAAGCTGTAGTTTATTTGACAATTTTTGTCGACAAAAATTAATTTGGAACGTTCAAGCCTACTTTTTTCATACTATCTCTGAACTTTTTCAAGTTCTTTTTTCACGCGTCTCTTTTTTCAAGTTATTTTTTTCAAGTTTTCTTCTTTCAAGTGCCTTTTTTTTCAAGTGTCTCTTTTTGCAAGTGTCTCTTGTTTCATTTTTCTCTCTTTCTTTAAGTGTCTTTTTTTCCAGGAATGGGAGTGGGAGTCCATCCTCAAATGATGGGAGGTGCCACTATGCAACAACAGCAGCAGATGATAGCCCAGTCTCAGCAGCAGCAGAATCAGATGCACGCTGCTCTGGGAGGTGGGCTTGCCCAGCAGAACATGGGAAAGGGGGTGGAATTCGAATCAGAGCTAGGTGAGAGAATTATTAATTTGTGAAATTTTGCTTCTTTCAGTGAAAAAAGATAAGGTTTAGGTGCAATTATGCCATTAGATTCACAGTCAAATTTTTTCATCATGCGAACTCGAGTGTTGCGTTTGGCATGGACTTTGCTCCAGCTTTTCAAAATAATAATTTTAGAACAACCAAAAATTTTTATTGTATGAAAAACTAGAAATTGTCTTTGAAGTTTTGTATGTCTCTTTTTCTTCGGTTGAAGTTGTCCCGTCTTTTAACCCATTTTTAAGTTTCTTTTGAAGCCATTTTATTCTATTTGTTTACCTAATTTCATGACTGATCTCAAAATATCTTTCAATCTTTGCGCAATGACGTTGCCATCGTTGCAGCTGAAGCTCATGTTTTGTTTATAAATAATCCCCTCACCAAGCAAGCCATTAAAATCAAGCAGACCAATTGTACCAACATCAAAGTAAAACTCATCATAAGTGTTCCAAGAAAGTAACTGTGAAACACTTGAAAAAACAAAACTACAAAGTAAAGAGGAAATAGTTACAAAGAGAGTAAACACTCACAAAGTAACACTAAAACACTAACTAACCTCAAGTTAAACTAACCATTTTTATAACTTACGACTATCGTATACTACAGAACTCGTAAAAGTCAAGGCCAAAAATCTTGGCGTAGTTTAAAGATTCGCTGATGAAAGGGCTAGTTTTGTTTACAGTGGTCTCGCTTTTACCCAGTTTATGGTCCGCATATTCGCTGACCCTCCCCACCCTCCCACCCTCACCCTCACTTTATAGCACACATGAAAAGTGAGGGTGGGGGGGGGGGGTATCTTGTTTTTGGTGAAAAGGTCGAAGTTAATTACGTCTCAGACCTCCTTCTCTAGATTTGAAAGATGGTAAGCTAAAATATGAAATAAAACGAAAATAATGTTTGCAGAATTTGAATGGATGAAAATTTAAAAATAGTGGATTATGATTTCTTTGATCAGTTCTTTCCATGATCCCCAGTAAATTTTTGTTTGCGGTTCGGGTCATTTCATTTCTATCCATTTTTTCAATCCTGTTGATGCTCTTTTTTAACTTGAAAAACTTCAGTGGAAAATAATAACCGTCTTCATATAAAAAGCGTGTTCAAGTTTATTGTTCACCATGAGAAGACTGCAATTTTTGCTCAACCAGCAGTTCAAGTGTGGAAAAATCCTTTTTGTGCGCGGAAGTTGTGAAGAAAGTCTTTCATGTTTCGGCCCGGCTAAAAACTTCAAAGAAGGTTTCTAATCACTGGACAAATGGCATTAACGCGGCTCTATTGCTCCGTACTCCTTCAGCCTTTCAGCACAAATTACAAATTTACTCGCTACACTAAAAAAAAAACAGGATAGTTACTACACACTATTAATACATAAACTATAGGCATTAGACTGCGGCGGCATTCGCACGAATAGATCAAAGGGATTGTTCTAGACCTCCCATAGTAACAGCGGACGGATATCTATTATAGACTATTCCAGCGACCGTCACTTTCTAAATACAGGGTAAGGGTGGGGAGGGGGGTGTTTTTATTTCTTACTTTAATCTTTAGTCTGTTCTACGCGACGAAAGTGGGGATTGTTGTTAGGACTAGGAGTGACTTGGGATTCCACTAATTCCGAAGATTCCCTTTTTCCTTTTATCCATTATGCTCTATTTTTACTTTCACAATCTGTTGTTCTTTTATCTATCTTTATTGTGGACATATGAAGTCATAAGGACAACAACATAAACACTCGTGGCCATTAAAACTGTATAAGTGGCCACTTATTCAAGGAAAAAGGGAGGAAAATAGAGCAAAAAAAAACTGAACAGCCGGTCCTTGAGTTTTAACTTAAAGATCTTTTTGAATAATTTTGCTAACTTCAAGTTCAATTTATGATTTTTTTGTCTTTAAAAGAAAACACTCAATGCTTAAGCATCAACAAAAACTTTTTAAGTTTTTATTGACGCTCCAATTTTTTCATCACAAATTTTGCCTTACTTTCATCCTATGTACCATTCAGCGTTGGACTGACCAATCAGAAGTTACGACGGTTTTAACCAATCACAAGTCATCAATACCATAAGAGCTTTAACTGCTATCATTCAACCGTGTATTTTAGCGTTGAGATTAACTTCAAAGGGAACCTTCAATCGGTTTGAATGTTTAATGTAGATCTGAGATTTGATTGATTTCTCAAAGTTCTTTCAAGTTTCACCAGCTCTAAGTTGTCGCCACTATACTATATACTATGCTCCACGTAGTGTCCCGTCCTTTCCCGTTCTTTTGGTCCTATCCCCCCTTTAATCTTTTCCACATTTGATACTGTTTCCTCTATTTTCTTCCTTTCTTTGGCGGCTTCTCCTTTGATCTAAATTCTATGAATTATCCCGTGTAGCAGAACGAAGGCCAAATTTGCCGCTTTTGTTGAAATGTTTTCGGTTTCGGGTTTTCAGGCCGAACAAACTGACTTTTACGAACACGTACTTAAAGAGCCAAACAAAAAAGCATATTATTTTGCGCTAAGTTGTTTTTTTCTCTAAAAAAAATGCTAACTTCGGTCCAAAAAATTCAATTATTGTTATGGTTTCATCTTAAATAAAGTGATCTTTGCCCAAAAATGATATATATTTTTGGGATTTTGTAGACAGTATTTCGTGAATGGCGTTTGCGAAGGTTTTGTATTGAGATTAAGTTAGTACTTAAGTATGCTTAGAGGGAACCATATGAGTTAATATCACGGATCAGTTCATTGACCGATTCTACCTTTTGTAGAAGTGCTATGGTTGCTTTGATGTTCGAATGCGCCAGCCGACAGCGGAACAGAACAGGCGCTGGCCGCTAAATAAATCTCTTTCATCTTTCATTTTACTACTATCACTTACCAACGCCACAGAACAACAGACGTTGTCTAACTATTAGTCTCTATAAGATTAACCTATTATATTTCCAAAATACACTATTTATGGTAATATTTCGACGTTTATATGCGTGTCATTCAATATATTAAGGGGGGAGGGTTAATATTAAGGTGGTAAAGGGAAATTTTTTGGGGGGATATGTGGATTTGGAATGTCGTGGCTGTGTGATGATTGGCGATTAGAGATTAAGTAAACAATCAAATCAATTTCAAATGAGCACATCAAAGCGCACGCCAGCAGTGCTGCCTTTGAAGTGTGTTTTCTCTGTTTGAATGACGACTATCTCTTATTGTGCCGACCGAACCAGAACTTAAACAGGACATTGGCAAAAACAGATTTCAGGAATGCATGAGAAAATCAATGCTAAGCAATCTGGTTTAAAAAAAATTAAAAAGTTGGGTTGCTTTTGTTTAAAAAAATCTACGAAAATTGTTTAAAAAAATGCCATCTTGTCCCAAATAAGGTGTTTTTCGATAGTCAAGGTCTATCAATCAAACGTCTAGTCAGAAAAGGATCTAGAGGTTTCTCGATTCAAAAAATGATCAAAATTGTTGTCGACCAAATTGAGTTTCCGAACTCTCATAAACCACCATAAAGACACTATTTTGGCTCCCCCCTCAAATCTAGTATGTATTGGCGCCCATGGCAGCTTTTGAAAAAAGTCTAGGGTCGGTCAGCCAAAAATGGATAGCTCAAAATAGTACAAAGTGGGGAGCTTTTGGATCGGCAAGTACTCGAATTCCTGGGAAAGGGGGGGGGGGGGAGTGGGGGGATTGGTGTGGAAGGAGTCCTTAAATCCCCTACTTCAGGAACATTTGGGTAGTCTGGGGGTGGAATCCGTGAAAGAAGGAAGGTCTTCCACAAACACCCCCTCCCATAACGGTTTAATTTCTCCATTTTTTTCCATTTTATCTCTAAACAAGTTCGATAAAATTAGACCAAATGTCTTTTTAATGGTTCTTGAATTTTTGAGTTGCTTGAACGCTCTTTATATCAGCCAAGGGCGGATTTTGGGGGGGGGGGATTCAGGGATTCGAACCCTGCCGACTCAAAGGGTCCTCCCTTTGTACTATTTTCTGATATCCATTTTTGGCTGACGGACCCTAAAGTTTTAAAGGCTCCTTTGGCACCAATATATACTAATTTTGAGGGAGGTGCGCGCGCCAAAAAAACGCATCTTTTTTGTCAAAATTTTTCAAAAAATGCTTCAAAACGCTTCTTTGGCCTGTTTTTTTTTAAATTTGAACGACCTAAACAAAAAAAGGCCAATATTTTTGAAAATCCCTTCCCGGAGAAAATCCTAGATCCGCCCTTGATATCAGCCTGAATATTTGAGTAATTTCAATCCAATTTCATAATAAAGTTTTAATTTTGCATCTTTTAGGGGAAGTATAACCAAAAAGACGATAACCCTAGAAAATCCATTCCGCCAACTTTTCGGCTCGCGGTATCCCCAAAAGTCTGAAAGGTGAAAAAGTTTTTTTTTAATTGAGGTTTTCAGGCTCTGAGGTTTTCAGGTTAAATTGAGTTTTAAATTTGGCATCCAGAGTAGAGTGGGTAAATTGTTTTTCTACCCACGCCCCCTCTGTCTCTCTCGGCACGCTACTGTGTCTATTATAAAAAAAGACTTCGGAGAGTTGCGCTAAATTTATACGTTTTAAAAATTTCAAAGACGGCTAAAAATCCTGAATTTCCGGGAAGAGTGCAGAAAACTTGAAAGGGAACAGGGGGAGATATGGACAAAGATACAGAAATACTTCAGGAAAGAGAAAAAGGGGATCTGCTGTATTCTGGTGGTGGTGTGATCTCTCTTTTCGTCTCTGATCTCCAACAGATCAATGAAGTGCGCTTTGATCGGTCGGCGAGTTGAAAGAACCTTTGAAGTGTCTGTATCTCTCTTGTGAAGTGAAAGCGACTGATGTCGGCACTTCAAAGGCCTCTCTCTTTGATCATGTTCCACTTTGGTCACGTTTAACAGAACGGCAGCTGTCAATCAAAACATGTCATTCACATTCAAATTAACCGCTCATTTCATGCCATGTGGTGAAAAAGTGAACCGCAAATAACAAATCAAATGAAAGGAAAAGTTTTGATCAAAGAGTATTGATAGTGTTCAAAATAAGTACACATCCAGTTAATAGTTTGATTGACAACCCTAATTTTTGAAACAATAAACAACAGACTAAACGAAGACTCTGGAAATATCTAGAACTTTTTTTGGTTACGTAGCAAAAAGTAGACAGACACGTTCTTGAGTCATAAAATAAAATATTTCGAATTTTTGTTTTCTTATCTCAATTCTGATTGGCTTAAGTCGTGCCTTCTCTATAATTTGGCTAGTTATTGGCCTAAGTCCCTTTTTTGTAGTCAATGGTTTTGAATTTGATTTTTTTAAACATTTTTTCACCAGTTTTTTGGTAACCAAAAATCAGCTTCTGTTTTAGACAAAAAATGCAGAGCCAGATTTGGGATGGAACAACAGCAAGCATGGTGCAAACATTGCAGGTAAAAATAATCACAGCTAGATCTAGTTTATTAGTAGTAAACATAAACATAAACCATCACTGGTTAGCAATTATAATAGTTTTTATTTTACCAAAATCTGGCTCTGCACTTGGGGGCGAAAGGCTGTTATTGATGTTGATGATGATGATACTGAAAATCATGAGCTGTGAGAAATAGAGTAAAATTGAGTAAATTGAATTAGAGAATGAAAAGGTCGCTTCGTCTTTGAAGTCAATCCAAGTCTCGATCTGGATTGATTGGATTTGGGTACTAGAGTGGGAAAAGGGGAGTGTTGTCGGTGGGTTACAATTGTGAACTGAGACCTAAATCAACTGCATTCATTGAGTGAACAAACATCTTCAATCAGCTTTAAAAAGTAACATTGTCTTGCTTGATTTTTTAGAGAAAACCAATGTGCAAAAATTTATTAAAGACTTTTTTGTAGCCCAGCAAAAATTTAATGAAATGCGACATCATTATCTCACCGTAATGTTAAAATGAATGATAAAATTGATACAAATCACAACTATGATCGATCAAATGAAAGAAGCTTTTTTAATCTGTGAAACTGAAGAACGATGGCAGTTCATTCAATTTCTTATCTGAAATTTTTAATTTTCCGCTTGATGACTGTCCAAATCTCTTTTACAGCCAAACTAACTCACCTCAACCCCCCCCCCTCCATTCATTAAATTCTTCGGCCCTCTCCATTCTCCATTTCCCTAATCCATAAGCCCTAAGCACATCATCTTTTTTCCTTTTGTCCATTCTTTGATCACGATCATCGCCTTTATCTGAAGAACACATCATAACAAAAATACTACCATCTTTACTGTTTATTGGGCACTTTTGATTGATCAGACTTTGATCTAGAGATGTGCTTTTGCTGCTGTACATATTTTCCACCGAGCGATCTAACACTCGTCATCTGATTCAAGTTCAAGTCCTTTTCATCGATTTATTTTGACACTCTAATCATAATAATCATCCTTTAGTTGTCACGTTGAGGTTTAACCCTAAACTATTAAGCATAAATTGATCCATAAACCATTAAACATAAATCTAAATGGAGCCCTAAACCGGTAACCCTAAATATAGTCGAAAAATATATAAAAGAAAATTTTTTCAAGCCTCCCATATTTGAATTTTGTAGTCAAAAATAAAGAAAACAATTTATTCCGTCACTTAAATCAAAAACGGCAAGCGGAGCTTGGAATAAAAAAGTTTGTAAAGAGATTAAAACCAAAGTAAAACTGATCATTGTACCGACTTTCGAAGAAGAAAACGGAATATTTATGCTCGGCGTGGTTTTTTTATTCAGTTAATTTTCGCCGATCGAAATAATAGTTTCCAACAAAAATTGTTTATACCCCATTAAAGATATCAACCTTGTGAGTTTAAATTTAAAAAGATATTTTTACCTCCGATCATTTTTTGTTAAGTTGTGGGAGTTTAAAAATTGGCAAATTGGCTATTTTCTGGACAAAATTATGCGCGCTTAGAAGAGTTCATTACACATGCAAAGTACTTTAGCTTCAGGGTATCATGAATCTGTAGCGTAGAGGTAGAAAAGGAGACCCGCAGCAAAATAAGAGAGTTGGAACCTGGGCAGGGTTGGATTTTCTTCATGAACTTTTTCGCATATTTAGTAAAAAAGCGTCCGGTCTATAAATTGAGGCATGTTAGTTGGTAATTTTGTTTCAAATTGACTGGTACTTCTAATGCGTTATAACTGGCTTGCGTCACTAAGCAATTATGTAGACTCATAATTGGCGTGCGTCACTTAAGAAATTTTGCAGACTCAAAGTTTCACTCATTTAGTTTTTCCCAGTAGGGTTATCGGTCATGTTTTTGCTTCTGCATGCGAAGTGCAACTTCGCCTCTGTGTTCATAATGCTGAGACCGTAATGCGAATTATTTATGAGTAGCGAATTATCCCGCACAACAAAGTTGTTTCTAAATGAATTGAGGCTAGTTAATCGTTCGTATTAATTTTGTACGACTCGCTTTGCCCTGATATACGAGCAGTCTTGTTGGTCCGACTTATGTAACAAAAGTAATTGTTCCGACTCTCGTAACGAAAGTAACGGATTATTTGTGCCCGGGGTGGTTTTTCTCTCAGACAAATCTTGACTTCAAATGGTATTGTTGAAAAGGTATTGTTGTCCTGAGCTTAATTTTGAAAAGATATTTCACCTGTGATCATTTTTCGTAAAGTAACGGGGTTTAATTATAGTTATTTTGGCCAATTTGGGACAATTATCGCGCGATATATTTCACGCTATTAATCAGTCATAAAAATTTTTCCAAATTGGTTGAAGGAAGCTTATTTGCCATAATTGATTCTGTTACTTTATTTTAAATGGCGTGTGGGGGATGATTTTTTTTCATTTCCCTGAATTACATTATTTTCACGTTATTACTGCTTCATATACCTTAAAAGGCAGTCGAAACATTCTATGCCTTGCCCTGATACGAGCAGTCTTGTTAATTATTTGAAAACAATGCTTTTTGGGGGTAAAGCTTTAATAATTCCCTCTATTTTTTCGTGCATTCGAGTTGAAATTTTGCAACCTGCTTTAATGCAATATTTCGTTGGGCGAGTTGTTGAGGTTATGGTCCCTGGTTCTAGGGTAAATCTTTAATAGCTTCAGGCCTCTCTCCGTGTTAAACCCCAGTTGAGCCTGGTCCCGTTGTTTATCCTAAACAATAAACCCAACTTTCCTTTCAACTGCACCGCTCAGCTAAGCGCACGCTAAACGTGCTGACAGTTATTTTCAAGTGTATTCCCCAGTGAGAAAATTAAAAAGTTAGGGAAAATGGGGAATTGTTTTTTCAAAATGAGAAGTCTCGGTAATAGTTATCATGAGGCTGATGATAGATAACGATCAAAGTAGTTATTAAAATCTTAACAATTAACTAGTACTGCTAGTAAAATTTTCAAATGGGGAAAAAAGACTAGTTAAAAATTCTTAGTTGCTTTTTTCCAACCTAGTTGATTGTTGTTTTTTTTTGCAATTTGAAGCTCATTAAATAGCTATACACTAAGAGCTGGAAAAATTAAAATAATTGGAAAAATAGTGAAAATTAGGGGGATGAAAAAATTAGATGAAGGCGACAAAATTAAAACTCAGAGGAAACATACGAGAAACTAAAAATTGGGAAAATTTTTTTAGATACGCAAAATTTGCTCAGCAATCAGCTGTTTAAGACTCAATTGGACTGCAATAAAGTGAAAAATTATTCAGGGTGAGGCTTTGATTTCGAGTGTTTCCTAAATTGATGCCCAAGTCCTAGTGGATAACTGATACTTAGGCAGAAATACATAAGTCGTACGAAAAAAGCGTAAGTTTTTTTGGGATGTTGCCAAATTTTTTCAAAAAAAAATGAAAAAAAGTTTGGCATCTTAAATAATGATAAACATCTTTCTAAAGTAATAAGGATGAAATTAAATGGGTTGCTATCAAAATAAGCATAAAATTAAATAAGGAACCATTTGAAAAAAAAATCCTGTCAGGGTAAAGTTAACTAAATGTCTTAACTACTAATTTTTGACGAAACACGAGTAATTATAATTGATAAAATATGATTTTTATGTTTAGAAGGAAGAAAAAGTGTCAGTTTATGATCAAAACCGAGGATGGATATCAAGTTAGAATTAGTGACTCCCTCAATCAATCTGAAAACGATGAGGGGGAGGGGGATAGTGATGATCAATGCTCAGAGGGGGAGGAGTGTTTAGCAGCCGAACGACAACACCAACAAGCACTACAACAACACTACCCCCACCCCCACCAAACAATGGGGGGACACCTCTCTTCTCCCCCTTCTTCCCAACATATCAATTCATGCAGCCAACAACAGCAAAACAACAACAATAACCAACTCCCAGCCCCGACCGACATGACTATAAACAAAACAAACAACAACAATAACCCCTCAAACCCAACCAACAACAACAACTTGTCATCATCAATTGCCGGTCACCTAAATAGTAACAATAACACCTTGGATTCTTCTCTTGGAAACGGAAGTGGCGGGTCCCCGACGGGGGGAGTTTCGGCTCAAATGGCCGCAGCTCAAGTCGCCGCCGCGGGTGTTCTCCTCGCAGCCAATCACAGCAGTTTATTACCCCACCACCCGAATTCAATTTCAAACCACGCAGCTCAACAAAACTTGGCACCATTTTTCGCAGCAGCAGTTGCAGTTTCGGGTCAGCATACCGGGGGATACCCGCCTAATTCAGCGGCCGGAGGCATGGGGGGTCTTCCGTTTTCGACGTCGTCTGCAAATCATCATCAATTTGGCTCAAATGCGGGCGGACTCTTCTCCCAAAATGTGCATTCCGCTGCTACAAACTAACGAAAAACAGCGAACGAAAAAAAAATCCGTCAAAACAGTTTGTTTTGTACATTATTTGGCTGCGCCAGTTATTAGTCACTACGAATAGTTCCGATTACATAACCCATTCGATAAGTACGTGGCGTATTACCACTTTCGTAATGATGTCTGATGGGATTACGTAACAGTCAATGATTCGTTTAATATGGTCTGGTCACCAACTGTCAAATAAAACTCACTCTACTTTTTTTCACGTGTCCTTTGTTCCCAGCTGTCAATCATTCCACGAAACTAGCTTCAAGTTGAACTCTCCTGACCTCAAAAATGCGCATTCAAATAACCGAAGTTCTTTCTCGGCAGAAAAATACCAAAACTTTTTTGAATGAGATTTTTTTAAATTCTCTTCGAAGTAGAAGTTAGACAATTTAGATGTAAAACTTTGATGTTATTTTTTTGAGCTGAATAAGCTGCATTTTCATTGCTTTATCTTAAAATACAGATAGATGAAAAAACATCAGTACAAAAGAGCTTTAATTTGGTGCAAATGCTTTAAATTCATTATCCAGCGAGTTTAGTTTTTTCTCGATACTCAAAAACCAGCTGCAAATTTAGTTCATGTTTTTGTGTCTCTGCTTTTCAAATAAAATACGCAACTTTTTTGACTTATTTTATATATTTCAAACCGATAGCTTTATTCATTAGTTTAATCATATCAAATTTTACTGATGCTTTTACATGTTTTGCTCTAAGTTCAAACCTCGATTATAATAACTAATGATATCCTATAGCTTTATAATTAATAATTTAATCTTTAAAAAAACAGTGCTTGAAATTTGGACATTGCTTTCGTAACTATTTCTATGTACAAGCTTTCTAATGTCACTCAAGTGTAAAACCCATTGCACTTTTGTGCATTAAGCTCAAATCAGTGCATTAATTACGCAATATTTTGAAAACAAGTTGCTGCTTTCAACCATTTTGCTAACTTTTTGTTTTTAAAAAAATTACTTTGATGTTTCTTCGAAGCCAAAATATTCTCAAAAGTAGCTAACTTGTTTTCACAGAAAAGGTGTCAAAATGTGTGATATTTTTGACTGCTTTGCAAGATTCTCGTAATATCTCTATCCGAAAATAGCTTTCAAAAATCGAATCAAATAGTTCTATCCTTAACGTTTCTCCTATTTCTCGTTCGTTTTATTCTTTGTCGTTTTTTTTTGTATTTTAGATAAATCTAAAAAAACTACCATGTACTGTAATACGTATATGTATTAATGCGTAAAACTCCTAAAAGGCGCTTTTAAATCTGGTTTCGTCAGCAAATTGATTGATTAATTATGCAATATACAAATATTTTTGTAATTAAGCCTCAAAATCATCTCTGTTTTTTCTTAAGCCGAAGAATATCTATAAATCAGGTCGACTTTTAGTTAGGGAATTGGGAAAAAGTCTCAAATAGTCGATCAATAGATACTAAATCGTTAGCTTTGAAATTAATTATGCAAACATATGCAAAAACAGTTAGAACAATTGATCCGAGATTTTCCTAGCCTGTTTTGAAATAGAGCTCTCTTCCTACAAAAAAAAACATGCTTATAGTTTTCTTGATGCAGAAACAGAATCTCATACACACTTTAGTCATTTTTTTGAAATTTAATTGTTAAGCTAAGGTTTTTTAATTTCATTTTATACCATTTTGTTAAAATTTTTCAATGCGGTTATTGCTTTGTCATATTTGATGATTACTTCTTGTTCTTCATTTTGGAGTAAAAACAGAAATAAAGTGGCTGCTAAATGAGCAGTTTAAGAGAGTGCACAAACGAAAACAAGTGGGAACTATCCTAATGCATTTCAGTTGACTCAGAGAAAAAAGAAAATGGGGATATTGAGAAGAAAATCAAAGGGTTAAAGAGGTTCTTTGATTTTAGGGTGTCATTTTCACCATTTTTTATTCTTTTTCTTTTTGTCTTTGTTCTTAATTTCTTTTCTTTCTTCTTTTCTCATTTTTTTGTAATTCCAGTCCCTACCCCTCTATCTTCAAGTCCTGAAAAAAAATCACTAGTTCCAATGCTCAACCCTAAATCAATCCCTATAAAAAAATTTTCTATGAAAAGCATCAATTCTTCTGATTAGAAACCACAGAAAATTTAAAGCTTAAAAGCAAATCAGCTGCGTATACCATAACAAGTTTTTTTAGTTTTTAAAGGAAAGTACAGAAATTTCAATTAAAAAAGGGTTAAAATTAGAAGAAATAAACAGTCAATCTTTAGGCCAAATCTTTACAAAACCCCGAAAGCTTTCGCTGACGCTTTCTGAAGATTTATTTCGATCGATTTCAGCCGTCGATCAATAACACCCTCGAACGCAATTATATTTCAAAGACAAATTTAAGTGAGATCTAGTCCAAAATCAGAGATATCTAAGTCGCTAAATGGATACAGATAGCGAGTGAAAATAACACTAGATACGAAATCCAAAGGTAAAATATAGGACTGGCTGAGAGACAGAAAATTTACTGGCAGTGAAAAAAAAAATTAGAAAAGAAACTATTTACAAATGGGTTCAAAAGTTTCTAGTATGTGAATGGAGGAGTTTAATATAAAAACTGCAAACTCTTTTGTTTCACCAAATTATGTTTCCGATATCTACTTAAGCTTTTTAAGCAGTATGTTTTTCCCTACTTTTGTCGTGAGGCGGGTATTTTCTAGATCACGAAATGACAAAGATTGTCACCTGCTCAAAAAATGGCCATCAAAAACTGCACACCAGGTTGGGAGCCGGATACCTGGTCGGCGAGACTTCAGGTCTAGGTTAAAAAAAAAGAATATCAAACTAAACAATTTCTCGAAATGTCAAAAAATTTGAAACACTTTTTATTATATGATTTGACAACTCAGTTTCAGGAATTTTAGCTCAAACTTTTAGGCTTTTTTCTGTATAATTCTGGCTATTTTTGAGATTCTACTGGATTTCTAAGAATGCTGAAAACCAAAACACTAATGAAGGGCTTTGTAAGTTTTCAGTGTATGTATTTTAATTTGTTGATGTAATGGCGGATGTGAAAAAGCGAAGATCGTCCGTGAAAAGTTCGTTATTAGTTTCGCTCTATCAAACTGGATTGGTTATTTTTTGTCTTCTGCTTTCAGTTCACCTACTGTGACCTTGTGTTGTCTAGACACCACGGTTAGTCTTTTCTCGGTTGTTTGCTCTCAAAAATTATCGTAAACGTCTCCTGCACTTCTCGCATCTCTTTAACGTATGCTATCCTGTTGAACTTGGCCATTCAAAGCTTTTGTTAAATAGATCGCCGACATAATTTCCTAACACTGATTTAAAACTTTTCTTTGGTAAAAAGAGTTCTGATCGAAATCATACTGGGCCGCGGCGAAATGACATCTGGGTCAAAACTTGGGGCGTTCATTGACTTCTCGCCACCTTGTTGTTCGTGTAAACAACGTCACGAACGAATTCCTACAGTCTAAAATTCATACAAACCCAAAATACAAATTCCTCGGATGTCTTTTTGCTTCCTAATGGTTCCAGCCATTACATTTTGTCCCACAATGAAATTTCGCAATTATAGTGTTGCCAGATCGTTTATTAGGGACTATTTGACATCAACACATTGTTTTTTTCCGACTTTCGATACGAAAGTAACGGAATAATTGTGCTCGGGGTGGGTTTTTTTTTCTTCAGACAAATTTCGACTTTTCAACTAGCCATTTTTGATGGAACTTTTTATATCATTCAAAAGGTATTGTTGCCCTGAAATGAAAATTGAAACGATAATTTACCTGTCATCATTTTTTGTGAAGTTATGGGGGTTTAAAGATTGCCATTTTGGCCAATTTGGGACAATGAACGCGCGATATAATTCGCGCTATGAACGCGTAAGCGAAGGTTTAATCCGTCTTAGAACCGTTCCAAATTGATTGAAATAAGCTTATTCGCCAAGGAGCAAAATCTATCCTTTTGTACTTTGTATGGCGTGTGAGGGGATGATTTCATGAAAAAGAATTCAAGTTTTAAAGTTTTTTTTTCATTTTATTTTATTACCTGTAATTTCTTATGTTATTACTGCTCCATAAACCTTAAAAAGCAGTAAAGCTTCGCCCTGATACGAGCAGTTTTGTCTGATTTCAAGTATCTGTGGTTTTCGTGATGATGATTCTTTGTTATCACTTGTTTTGATTAAAATGAGTCGCCGCAAAAGTTTTTTTGATCGCTTTCAGTTGCGAAAAAAAAATGTTCAATTTTTGTAAAGTCATTGAATTAAAATCATAACAAAAAAATGAGTTGAAGAAAAACCTTTCGATTTGTTCGAGAAACTCCTTGATTGCTAACTCCTCGACTTTGCACGGCCCAGTTACTTAACAAAAATTCCCATATACCTTTTTAATTACGTAGACTCCCGTATATTCCCATAGAATTCCCATATATCCTTGCTAATTACGTCAAAATTTTCTCGAGCTGCTCAATTTTACTTATTTTATCACGTTTTTTTATTCCTTCAAATATTAAATTATTTATCGTGGACTACGGATAAAATGGAATCGCTCCTGGGGAATTGGGATGATGATGCAAGTTTATGATGAATTGGTAACCGGTAGAGAGGAAATGAAAAAAGACGTAAAAGACCTAAAAATGTTGTGCATGATATTGTGCGGGATAGGATACCGATCGGTATTTGAATAGCACTGCTTTATTGTCAAGAATTCCCCGTTTGTTACTCGCAAAAACGCAACTTTTTTTTACAAGAGCAACTGAAATTTTCCAATTGGATTTGAAAATCAATGGGATCTCAAAAAAACTGAAAACTTATCATTTTATGAACAGCCAGGTTCTGAAAAGCTTCCTCACATACTTATGCCATGCTATTGTTAAGTTTGTGTTTTTGAAGATTAAAACACCGTCTAAAAAGCACCCAAACAAAATTCATAAAAACGGTTTGATGATTAACATTAACGAAACAATGACTCCGCTAGAAGCAAACTTACGAAACGAGATAGCAAGCCTAAGATAATTTACATCATCGAATAACTGCGTAGTAAGTGTTAAAAAAAAGAAGATGAGTATCCACACTAGTGCCGGTTAAAAACATGGAGCAATTGCAAAAACTGAAAAACCCGATGAAAATTGACAATTGATCATTGGAGAGGCGGAACGTTACTAACAATAAGAGGCCTGCTGCAGCATTAATGGATTAAAAACATATCAACAGTCTCGACACATTTTTTTTACCTAATCAAAAGATGCATGCAATGGAGAAGTGAAAACACGCTGGTGTGAACTGAAAAGACTGAGACTGCAAACTCCTGATGAATTAGTTTATTTATCAAAAAAGTTCTGATAAATTGAGCAAACATACACTGTTTTTGACATATACAGACCACATAAAATTACAGACCATATAACATGAGTAGCGATTTGGGCTTTCCGGAAAAATGCAGGTCGGACAGCGTACTCAAATGAAAGTTTTGTCTATTTTTCTCATTTAAACTTCCTAAAAGAAAAACCTCATTTTTTCGTTTCTGATCTGTTTAAGCAGAACACTGAAATAATGGAAGAAAAACAGATGAGCTGAGGTTGCGATTTGAAGCATCTCACTGCTCTACTGATAGTAGAAACTAGCATGCGAAATAAAAAAAAACCTTCTGCTAAATTTTGGTTGCTTGTTTTTCGTCAGTTTTGTAAAAGTTCCAGCGGGGGAATTGAATAAACAAATCGAAGTTGTTTCAGTTCTCTGCTTCACCTGTCCTTAATGATGTGAAACAGCAATTTTAAAAACATTGAACTAGATTCGAATACTGGCTGGGATTTTATGTTACTGTAATTCAACTTTAAATTGAAAATTATAACAGATTATCTGAATTAGGGAAAACTAATGCAACACCGAAAAGAGTTACCAAAGTTGACTCCTATAAATAACACTCAACAGTGTCTTCTAGGAAAAAAGTTTTGCAACTTTTTGCTATTCCTTGATCTGAGGAGGGCCTTGCTTCTTCAGAAAAGCATTAATAGTGAAGAAAAGCGAATTCATACTTCTCTTCTTTAGCATATTTTAATTGAGTTTGATTGCAAAAAAACGAACGAAAATTTAAACTTTTTGATTTTACTGTACGAGAGGTTGGTGCTCCGATTTTCTGCTTCGCTACATGTTTTGATTCAAAACAAATAACTGGAATGCCAGGCTTAATTTAGTTCTGTTATAACGACCATGCTTGTGTTTTATGTTTTGTCCAGTCGATGCAAGTTTGTGATAACTTTTGATCTAAATTAACACCTTGCATCTGAGTTTACAAAAATGATCAAAATATCATCAAAACGGCAATATCGGAATCTTTAGGCAACATCAATTGAAATCAAAATAAAAATTGA